ACAAAAAGTCACAGATCAGTGTGTGTGTGTGTGTGTGTGTGATTTTAAAATCCTCCGGCCTCTCCTATCTCGTCCCAGTGAAAGTTAAAATCAGCTGTTTGTGCGGGGTTTTTAAGTCACTAATGTAATTTCAGGTAGGGCAAAAATTTACAGATGCTACCAAAATCTACAACGGCAGGAAATCGAATTAGTGCGTATTGTGAGAGAAGCAGATGTGCAGGTGGAAGTGCAGGTCATGAGACACAGATTAGGAAAATAAAAGTTTGGACAAACTACATCTGTCAGGACATTTGCCTTATTTGATTTGGCAGCTTTACGACTCAACCGAGGGCAAAGAGTCTGTCAGCACCACGGTGAAGTTTCAGGGCTGTAGTTTCATCTGGATCAAAGGATGCTGGGAAATGTATTTCCATTATTTCAGGCCTGAGATCTACATTAAACCAGATGCAAGTGCACCTGCATGTTTCCCTGAGTGATCATGTTCATATTCGTGATTTTAATATGCGAGGTTGACACGCAGAAGAAAGAGAGAGAGAGAGTGTGTATGTGTGTGTGTGTGTGTGTGTGTGTGTGTGTGTGAGAGAGCCAAAACCAGCATGTATCAACGTGTGTGTGAGACCAAGGCAGGGCCGATGAATGTTTGGCAGTGTGTGTTCTCCAGAAGCCAGAAGATAATAGAGAGCAGACTGTATACACACACACACACACACACACACACACACACACACCCACACAAACTCTTTCAAACAGATCCCTCCATCTTTTGTCTTGCTCTCTGATTTGTCGGTTTACTTTTGGCCAATGAAGTGTGCAAATATACAGTACACACCTACACCTACACCCACACACACACACACACACACACACACACACCCACACACACACACACACACACCCCTGGTCAGGTTAAAGGCTAACAGAGTGTGTCTCCCTGCAGGATGAGGGTTGGTCTCTCTGGATTCCTGCTCAGGTCACACAGTGGGTCAGCAGTGACGCACACTCTCTCTTTCTGTGTGTGTGTGTGTGTGTGTGTGTGTGTGTGTGTGTGTGTGTTCACTGGCCCTGAAGCTCCTGTCTGAGTATCTGCCTTATAAAATATTAACAGTCTCTTTACTGTTGATCCTGCAGCTACAAACGCAGCAAGAGAACCTCGTCTGACTTCATTAACTGGAGTTCACGGCTTCACTTTACTGCCACGGAAAACCACTGTGCTGCTACTGTTAGACACAGACACACACACACACACACACACACACACACACACACACACACACACACACACACTTGGATACAGAAATTGAGATTTCCTCCAGAATGAGACACTAAGTATTTATGGAAAATGAGCGTAAAAAGAAGTCACCTGCTCCGGAGGTAAAACAAGCATCGGTACAAAACTATAAATCAATACAATTGTCACATGATCTGTTGTTAATATAATACAACTATATTTGTTGGAGCTGCTTTGAGCACATAACTTCTCCGCTGCCACTTGGAGCGGCCAGGGGATGATGTTTTCCAAGATTTCATATTGGAAAAAAACTCTTCAGCTGGAGTCAGTTACAGAATCCGCTGAATGACCTGAGGCTGGAAATACAGTTGTTAAAGCAAAGGTCTGCTTCTGCGACAAGGCTAAACTAAAAGGTAGTTTTTACTCAGGGCTCTCAACCAAAACTCACTGTTTTCATCAGCAACATGTGTATCATTTTTAAAGTTCATATCCTGACATTTTTTCCACCACAAAAAGCGAAAAACTGGGTCTGGAAGCTCATCTCCTCTTACTTCCTGGATCAGGCCTTGAGCCCCGCCCACCACCTGCTGGCTCCAGGTGGAAAGGTGAAAGAGCAGAGAGTATGAAGATGGTTAGAGGAGGAAACATCAGAGAGACTCAGCCACATGTTTGAGCCTCAGTCAGACCCAGACTCAGAGGAGGAGTCTGAGACCAGAACCAGAGACTAGCAGACGGATCAGCACAGTTAGCATGGTTAGCATCTTTTATTTGTTTATGTTGTTTGTTAGCTTGTATCTGGCAGAGGCTGACACAGTGTTAGCCATTGTGCTAATGCTAACTCTCTCTCTCTGTACTGACGAGGTTTCAGGTTTATTTAGCCTCCTTCATATCTCTTAATTAAAACCACATTTTCTTCCCTCCATTGTGTCTGCAACATTCACGCCGTGTATGATCCTGTCACGTCATCAGCTGCTACTCCCAAAGCCTCCGCCTTTAACTGTGACACAAAACCCACTTCACTAATTCCATTCATCCGTCCATGTATTCATCCATTCAGTCGGTCAGAGGACTGCTCACTCGACAAACATCTCACTAACAGACCCACAATGAAACCAGCCTGCCCGAACTAATTGCTGCTGGGTAGGAAACTGTTGTTGGCTTTACTGGTGTTGACTGTTGCCAAGAGAGAAGCAAGCATTCGGAAAAAAAAAAGTGTGTTAATGCGACTGGAAGTGGGCAAATGACTTCACTGGTGATTTTAAGTGTGTGTGAAGTGCTCTGCTGTTATTGTAAAGAGCCCATTTTATTTTTATTTTAGATAGTGCTGTGTTTTGTCTGAAATGAGAAAATAAATTTTTTATGATGCAGAATAAAAGTCAATTAAAATCAATGGTCCAAATTTTCTTTGTTCCACTTTCACACGAGAACATAATAGAAGTATTATAATGGGACAGTTTTACACAGTTTTTGAATGTTTGGACATTGATATGTTTTTTTATTATTTTGGTTCTGTACTCTCGCACATTTGATTTACATTTGATTTACATTTGATGCACATTGGAAATCAATATCATGATTATTTCAAGTCTGAATTATGATCAAAGCTCCATATTTTCTTCTTCTTCTGTGTTTTATTTTGAAGTGTTGATCCATCAGAAGATATAAAAACCATTTCAGTGTAGTTTTACATCTCCTCTCTCAGGCTTCTCTCTGCAGCTCTAGTAACAACAGGTCGTTGAGCCAATCAGAAGAGAGGAGGCTCTGAGTCTCTCTTCTGATTGGCTGACTGTTTTCTGACTGATCCAATAAAAATATAGCAGATTTCAGGTAAAAACACTCAGAGAAACCAAATCCTGCAAGGTTTGGATGGTGGGTCCAGGTGGGCGGGGCTTGGTGACTGCTTTGTTGTGACATCACAAAGTTCCAGAAGTCCTGACGGCTGGTTTTAAGGCTCAGTTTCTGAATACAGGCTGTGTGCATTTCTCTGTGGACTGAGGCTTTGATACTTTCACAGTATTAACATAGAAGCTAGACCTGATCTATAATCACACTAAACTAGATAACTTTAAATCTTTGCATTCATAATGAGAGTTTAAATTATTTTTGCTTCCTGTAATTGAGGCTGTTTTTAAGAAGAATGTGATGTGGAGATTAATCAAGATGAAAGGGAACACTATGTTTTCTAAACCTCTGGAGACTGAAGTGAAAAAGTAACTTTCCTTCATATTGGAAGACATCGCCACGGTTACAACATCCTACTGGATCACTTTGAACACTGTGTCAAGGAGACATTACTTCACTGATCTTTATGATACCGTCATAAAGTTCACTCCACATAATACGTCCTCTGAGAAAATGACTTTACCGCTGAAAACCTTAAACTGGACACAGACTTTCCTACGATCAGACATCACAACGGCAGGGAAATAATCCAACACTTCACTTTCATCAGTCCAGATTAGACTGGGAGGAGTTGTTTGTTGAAGTGTCACAAGTTGTGCTGTTAACTGATCGGCACTGAACTTATCAGGAAGGAGAGGAGGTAAAAATATAAAAGACACATGGTCGACGGATGGACCAGTTAATGGCTTAGATTTTCCCCTTTAATCAGCCAAAATAAAAGCACATGAAGCCGAGCACAAACAGCTTGTAAAGCTCCACAATCCACTGACCAAAATTGATCTTAAACGCCCCTCCAATCACTCTGAATGTGTTTACCCACAAGCTCAGAGGGAAGCTGTGACGAATGACATCCATGATTAATGCAGCTGTTTAAATGGACTGTTTGAATGGTTGAAGTTATAGGCAATAAAAAAATACAGTATCTGTTCAAAGAAAAATGTAACTAAATCTGGCGTTGGTCTGTTTGGTGGTTTAGTTTCAACCTCAGAAGAATTCACTTCTAAACCGAGCAGAGTCAACATTAGGTTTCTATTGACTGCGAATCTACTAATAAGGTCTGTTTTGTCTGTGGGGTAACTGGTGCAAAGCTTAAACTAAACTATTTGTGCAAGTTATCTTCACACAGTTCATTTATAAAACCTCAGATTGTCAAACAACCTCCACATGCCCCTCTCGATGTGAAGCCAATCCCAACCACAGTGGACACTGTGTTTGAAGATGGTGCAGAAATACTGGAAAAAAATTCATTTTAAAATCCTTTAAAAAAGTTTCATCTACTTCTTCTCCGTCATTGAAACATGCAGCATCTATCCATACGTAAAGATTCTCTATTTCAAAAGTTTGACTTTTAAGTTTCTTAAGTTGCACGTTGGCCTGTTGGCGTCAGATAAAGTTTAAGTCCAGGCATCTTTATGCTAATGAGCTATGACGCGGCAACCAATCAGAATGTAGATGTGCTCCGCTCTGCAGAACACGACGTGTAAACCTTTGTTCCCATCAAACATTTGTTTCCAGGCACATTGGAGGAGAAGGTGATAATTGTGTTGGCGGGTGTCCCCGTCCTTTACGACGGGACTTAAATAGCACAAAGATGCCGGATGGCGTGTGTTTGCTTTGCAGGCCCTTTAAATAAAGTTTACAAGACCAAGCATTCAGAACAATCTTGCTAGCTGTGTATTTCTTCTACGTCAGAGCGACTGCAGACTTCAACAGCGTCCTTGGCTGGACAACCGGGGCGAATTCTTTCACTCTCACTGTTTTCAGTCTGAAAATACAGTCAAGCTCAAGTGTCCAACTGGAGGAACAATGAAAAACATATTTGTAAGTGGGAAGGGACTTAAAATACTCAGCTATTTGGTCCGTTTCCTACCTGAGTGGGAGAGCTGCAGCCGTGGCCCAGTCTGGCTCCAGGCTTTGGCATCCTGAGCGGTGATGGCGTCTGCAGGCTGCAGCCACAGCAGCGGGAGGAGACACAGCATCAGTATCTGAGGAGACTCCACTCCTCTGGTCCTCACTCCTCCTGCCGTCATCTCTGATTGATCTTCACTGACGTGTGGAGAGAAAGAAGGGAAGAAGGACGAAGCAGCCGGTCACATCACCGTGTGGCTGACTGGAGGGGAAAAAGAGAAACAAGGGAGATGGAGCTGGTGTTAGCATTTAGCTCATAGCACCACTAAGTACACTCTCACACAGCTGCTTCCATGGCTGCAGAGTCAACAAACTTAATGCTTAAACATGATCCTCATCAGTTTTAGACATTGTAACTTGCTAATGGCGCTTAATAAGAAATAACTGAAGTAATTATGACTCCTATTCATATTCTCTCCTCTGGGGATGATGGATTTTATATAAAATGCTGTCCACTACTTCTAATATTTCACAATGATATACCAAGTAGCCAATCTGTAAAAGGCCAGATCAGTTAAAACTTAGTAAAAGTCGATCAGTGTCTGAAATGCAGTAGTAGTCAGATGTCCCAGATTCCAGTGAATAAAGTCAACAGTAAAATATAAAGATGAACTATTGCTGGAATTTCAGATGTTTGAAGGAGACTTGACGTTTACCACCGACTGTGTTTAATGAGAAAACACTGGCTGGAGTTCTCCTGGCGCGCTACAACAACCAAATATCCAGAGGTCCCATTTATGAATCATGCGCTGTACGTGCACGCGCATACACTCAAAAAAAAAGTAAGACAGACAGAACCAGAGAGAGACCAGAGCTCAGGCCAGGACATAAATAACGAGTCATAGTCTTTGGTTATTTAAAAAAGACGGCGTGAGCATTTCCTGTGTGTTTGCAGAGAGAATTTAAACTGTTTAAAAGCCAAGAACAAAAACAGAAAGTGAAGCTTTAACTTGCATCATATGAACTAAATAAAAAAAAAAGATTGTGTGGTAATCAAACACCTGAATAAAACTAAAACAACGTGACGAATCTGACACTCACAGATAATTCAATTCAAATTCCAACTGGGACCAATATGTTGTAGGATTTATGGCTGAGCAGTCCCAGTATGAAGTCTAATTCAATTCACTGCACATTTACAAAACAAACAAACCAGAGAACATAGTTTTCCTTTTTTTTTCTCTACTCATTCCCATATTCCCTCTGAACTTTGCTTGTGTCCTTAGCAAGCCGGCGGACACCTGAATAAATCTCTGGCAGACAGCAGCAGCTACACTGTGTGTGCAGCTACAACATGGTGGCTGTGTTAATGTGGGAATGGAGCTCACAAGGGAAACGGGCCCATTTATCATTTTGCACTGGCTGGCCGACTTTAAGAGTTCAGACTGAGAAATGCAACTGGAAAGTACCTGCTGAGAGAGGGAAGACGGCTAGCTTCTTAGCCAGCTCGAACGCTAACCCTTCATAGAAGACAGAGGACAACATGGTGGGATTATGGGACAAAGAAAAAGGCACCACACCCCAATCAGACGCCCAGACTGACAGGCTTGTGTTGTTCTTTTGTTACTAATGATAATAATAATAATAATAATGACAATAATTCATTTTATTTATAGGCCCCTTTCAAGGCACTCTCACGTTAAAATACACAGTAAAAGACATAAAAAAGCAAGTACAAGGCATAAAATACAGAATAAATTAGAATAAATATAATAGTATAAAATGAATATGATTGCATTGGATCCTAGTGTTGGAGTTAGAAATAATAGGGTTAGAGGTGTGTTGCGTGTTTCGCACCAATACGTGGTCGTTTTTTGTCTCTTTGTGGTTGTTTTGTGTCTTTTTGTAGTTGTTTTGTCTTTTTGTAGTTGTTTTGTATCTCTTCATAGTTGTTTTGTGTCTCTTTGTAGTTGTTTTGCATCTCTTTGTAGTTGTTTTGTGTCTCTTTGTAGTTCTTTTGTTTCTTCATAATTGTTTTGTCTCTTCGCAGTTGTTTTGTCTCTTTGTAGTTGTTTTTTCTCTGTAGTTGTTTATCTCTTCGTAGTTGTTTTGTCTCTTCGTAGTTGTTTTGCATCTTTTGGTTGTTGTTGTTTGATTTATTGCCAACAATCAACTGTTTGAACAGTTACTTCTGGCTCTGGATCAAAGCACAGTTGTCCACTAACGAGGTCGAAACAACAGCCGTGACTGTGAAATTGTTTCAGGTGGGACAGAAAAATGCTTACACGCATCGCTCCAGGAGAAACTGACCATGTTATTGAAGAGACACAAAACAACTACAAAGAGACACAAAACAACTACAAAGAGATGCAAAACAACTACAAAGAGACAAAACAACTACGAAGAGACACAAAAACAACTATGAAGAGATACAAAACAACTACAAAAAGACACAAAACAACTACAAAGAGACAAAACAACTACGAAGAGACACAAAACAACTATGAAGAGATACAAAACAACTACAAAAAGACACAAAACAACTACAAAGAGACAAAAACACTACGAAGAGACACAAAACAACTATGAAGAGACACAAAACAACTATTAAGAGACACAAAACAACTACAAAGAGACACAAAACAACTATGAAGAGACACAAAACAACTATGAAAGAATACAAAACAACTACAAA